CAGAGTAATCTCTACAAAAGCTTAATGAAACTCAAATTGAATTTGAAAAAAACAAAAAATTCAATAATGATAATAACCAAAAGCTGACAGATAAATAGAAAATTAATTGATGTAACATAAACTCGGCTTGAATTACGGAGTATTTGTTAAGATATTGACTTTGGTCAACTCATATATATATATATATATATATATATATATATATATATATATATATTATTTTCGGAACTCAAATATTCTTTACCAACTTAAAATTAACTTGAATCATTGGTTAAGATCTTGACTTGGGGGTCAACTTAAAGTCTCTTTCTCCACCAGAACTAAAGGCCAAAGAGGAAAAATCATAGTAATTTGTCACGCCACGCAACCAAGAGGCTATGCCACGCAGGCGCCACGCAGACGTCCAGCAGACGATGACATGGAGCCTGCATGGACTAGAGCTTTCTAGACTTCTCTACACAAGTATGGAACTTTCTGGAATTCTCTAGATTAGTGTGGAGTTGTCTAGCCTTTTCTAAACTTGTCTAGAGTTGTATAGAATTCTCTAGACTTGTCTTGTACATTCTATATAGTTCTAGAATTGTGTAAATATTTCTTTGGAGGATTCTAGACACTAAATCTAGGCCACACATTTGTACACATCTAGAATGTTCTTGTAAAGCCAAAGGCCTATAAATAAGAGGTGGGAGTTCATTTGCTCCTCAGCAAGCAACCAAGTTGTAATCTCTCATCTCAAGCAATACAAGTTCTATACATTCCCAAACTCTCTTGCTCACTTGTCTAACCTCTTCCTACACACCAAAGTAAGCAAAACACTTGTCTAGCCTTAGTCTTCACTAAGCTAGCACACTCGGGTAGGCTGACTTAGCGCTTCAAGGGGGCTTGAAAGTGTCAAGGCCGCACGGGAGCTTGGAAAGGTTCAAGTCCGTGACAGTTGGTATCAGAGCTAAGGTCGTGAGACGTCACACCTTGTGTAGAGGAAGCTATGGTGGAGCAATCAGACGTGACTAACAACCAAGAGGAGGAGCTATGTGGAAGGGAAGCAAATCTCCCTTCAGTCGGAATGAGGATGAGGGCTAGGTCGAAGGACATCATGGCAGGCTTAGAGGCACGTATGGCAAACATGGAGGGGTTCATGGCCAACATGTTGGAGCAGCTTGAGGATGCTCACCAGCGCATGGATGGGCTGGAGTCGGAGGACGCTGAGGTCTAGAATACTGTCAAAGGGTCACTCAATGCCCTAAGTGGTGACTTTCGGCCGGAGCTCCAAGCACTTTAAGAACTTATGTTGGGAGAGTTTGCCACCCTACGTGGCTATGTTGATCAGGAGCTTGGCACTTTCTATGAGCAAATGGAGGAAATGCGAGCGGATTAGGCATTGTGCAGACGGGCGGTGGTGTCCGGCACAGCTACTACGGGGGTTGTAGCACCCCGTGTTGATATTCCCAAGCCTAAGTGCTATAGTGGGAACCGGGTAGCGAAGGAGTTAGAGAACTTCCTTTTTAGCATGGAGCAATACTTTGAGGCTATAGGCATAACAAATGAGACCATCAAGATACACATGGCGACTCACTACCTCACAGACCATGCCATGCTATGGTGGAGGAAGAAGTATGGTGACATGGGCAAAGGTACGGTCTCTATTGATACTTGGGCTGATTTTACAAAAGAAATTAAGAAGCATTTCTATCCTGAAAATGCCGAGGATGAAGCTAGGGGCAGACTCTGAAGGCTAAAACAAGTTGGGTCGATTCGGGACTATGTGAAAAAATTCACTAACTTGACTCTTGAGATCCCGGATCTATCCGACAAGGACTCTTTTTTCTTCTTCATGGATGGTTTGCAGTTGTGGGCTAAGACGGAGTTAAGGCGATGCAACGTGCAAGACCTTGCCATGGCTATTGCAAAAACGGAGTCCTTTATTGATTTCAGCTCCAAGAAGGAACCCTCGTCCAAGCCAAAAGACAAAGACAAGGATAAGGGGAGGTATGCCGGCAAAGGTGGGGGAGACAAGGGCGCTGCACCCCACCAGGATTGGTCCTATAAGCCAGGTGGTGGCTATAGAGGCAAAGAGGGAAGGGAGAACAAGGAAGGAGCACCCAAGCCTAAGGGTTCTTGCTTTATATGTGATGGACCACATTGGGTAAGAGATTGCCCAAAGCGGAAGACCTTCAATGCCATGACGAGCCGCTACGAAGAGCAACAACAGGAGGAGGCGCAGATGGGTTCACTGCAAATCCTTAATGCTATCAAGGCTAAAACTGAAGTCCTTAAGGTGGCGGCTAAGGGGCTAATGTTTGTGGAGGGGAGCATCAATGGGACACCCGCACGTGCTTTGGTGGACATGGGTGCATCCCACAATTTTGTGAGCCTTGATGAGGCCAAGAGGTTGGGCCTCAAGTATAGTAAAGAAGGGGGCTCCATGAAGGCAGTTAACTTGGCAGGAAAGGCTATACATGGCATGGCACACGGCGTCAGAGCATGCATTGGCGAGTGGGGTGGCCACATAGACCTATCGGTGGTACCCATAGACGACTTCAAACTAGTCATTGGGTTGGAGTTCTTAGACAAGATGAGAGCCTTCCCCATTCCTTTCACTAACTATATGTGTATTATGGAAGGAAACACAGCATGTATGGTACTAGTGGATAGAGGCGCCAAGTTGGAAGCCCAAGCTTTGTCAGCTATGCAGTTCAAGAAGGGCTTCAAGAAGGGAGAGACTAGCTACCTTGCTACGTTACTGGAGACACCCGATGATGAGCCAGTCCCTTCCCCACAAGAAGAGGTGCCTAAGGAGATACGAACCGTGCTAAACGAGTACACGGACGTGATGCCTAAGGAGCTGCCCAAGAAGCTTCCACCTAGGAAGGAGGTGGATCATAAGATTGAGCTGGAACCGGGTTTTAAACCCCCTGCTTTGGTGCCTTACAGGATGGCACCCCTAGAGTTGGAGGAGTTGCTGAGGTAACTCAAGGAACTGTTAGATGCGGGCTATATTCGACCCTCGAATGCCCCATATGGCGCACCGGTGCTATTCCAGAGGAAAAAGGACGGGTCCTTACGCATATGCATCGACTACCGGGTGCTTAACAAGGTGACTATAAAAAATAAGTACCCCATTCCTCTTATTACCGATCTCTTTGATCAGCTTGGTAGAGCATGCTACTTCACTAAGCTTGACTTGCGCTCGGGGTACTACCAGGTGCGGATAGCGGACGGGGATGAGCCTAAGACTACGTGTGTGACGAGGTATGGCTCTTATGAGTTTCTTGTTATGCCGTTTGGCCTCACCAATGCACCTGCTACTTTCTGTACTTTGATGAACAAGCTCTTCCATCCCTACTTGGATCGCTTTGTGGTGGTGTACTTGGATGATATTGTTGTGTATAGCACCACTCTAGAAGAGCACGTGCAGCACTTGAGGGCGGTCTTCCAAGTCCTACGGGAGAATGACCTATATGTGAAGACAGAGAAATGCCCAAGAAGAAGTGTTGTTCCTAGGGCATAAGATACGGGATGGCAAGCTGATGATGGATGAGGCAAAGGTGAAGGCCATTCAAGAGTGGGAGCCGCCCACTAAGGTGATAGAACTATGCTCATTTCTTGGGCTTGTCAATTACTATCGCCGCTTCATCAAGGGTTACTTCGCAAGAGCAGCCCCATTGACAGACCTTCTCAAGAAGGCCCGTGCTTGGAGTTGGACAAAGTCATGCCAGGGGGCATTTGATGACTTGAAGAGGGCAGTCACAGAGGAGCCGGTACTTAGCTTGGCCGACCACTCCAAGCCGTATGAGGTGCACACGGATGCATCAAACTTTGCTATTGGGGGCGTGTTGATGTAGGAAGAACACCCTATAGCTTATGAGAGCCGCAAGCTTAATGACACCGAGCGGCGCTATATGGAACAGGAGAAAGAGATGACAGCGGTCATCCATTGCTTACGTACTTGGAGGCACTACTTGCTCTGGGCACAATTTGTGATCAAGACAGATAATGTTGCCACCAGCTACTTCTAGACACAGAAGAAGCTCAGCCCCAAGCAAGCTCGATGGCAGGACTTCCTAGCGGAGTTCACCTATCATTTTGAATACAAGCCGGGCAAGGCCAATGTTGTGGCGGATGTGCTTAGTCACAAGGCCGAGCTCACAACTGTTAGTCGGCCCCAGCACCTTCTTGTGGAGAGGATCAAGGAGGGGTTGCAGCATGACCCTCTAGCCAAAAGCCTTATTTAGCTGGCTAAGGATGGGAAGACTCAGCGCTTTTGGCTAAGGGATGACTTGTTTCTCACTACAGGGGACTGACTCTTTGTGCCCAGGTGGGGCAACTTACGAAATGAGCTAATACGGGAGTTCCATGACACCAAATGGGCTGGTCACCCAAGTATGCAGCGCACACTAGCACTCCTAGAAGATTATTACTATTGGCCTCAGATGCGTGATGATGTGGAGACATATATGAGGACTTGTCTTGTGTGCCAACAAGACAAGATTGAGTAACAGCATCCTGCGGGCCTACTAGAGCCATTGCTTATTCCAGAGAGACCATGGGAGAGCGTCTCTATGGATTTCATTACTTGCTTGCCCAAGTCAGAGGGTTGCGGGAGCATTATAGTGGTGGTAGATCAGTTCAGCAAGTATGTCACCTTCATACCCGCACCGGCAGATTGCACGGCAGAGAGGGCAGCACAATTGTTTGTTGACCATGTGGTCAAGCTTTGGGGAGTTCTGCAGAATATTGTCAGTGATAGAGATCCGCGTTTCACGGGTAGATTTTGGACGGGGCTCTTCAAGAAGATGGGGACGGATCTTAACTTCTCTACAAGTTTCCACGGGCAGACGGAGCGCATTAACGCTCTCCTAGAGCTTTATTTAAGGCACTATGTGAGTGCCAACCAGCGAGATTGGGCCAAACTCCTTGGGGTGGCACAGTTTTCTTATAACTTGCAATGGAGTGAGGCTACCAATCATAGTCCATTTGAGGTTGTTACCAGACGGTAGCCTATGACACCCAACGCCATTGTTTCGACTTGCGATGGTAAAAGTCCAGCGGCCTACAAGTTTGCCAAGAGGTGGCACGAGCAGTCTGACTTGGCTAGGGCATACCTTGACAAGGCGGCAAAGAAGATGAAAAAGTGGGTCGACACCAAACGAAGGCGGGTGGAGTAAATAGTGGGAGACCAGGTGATGGTTAAGCTACTACCCCAACAGTTTAAGTCCTTTCGGAGTGTGCATAAGGGGCTAGTAAGGAGGTACGAGGGCTCGTTCCCCATTGTTAAGAGGGTGGGCAAGGTCTCCTACATGGTGGAGCTTCCACCCAAGTTGAAGATACATCCAGTTTTCCATGTCAGCATGCTCAAGCCTTATCATGAAGACACGGAAGACCTTACTCGGGGCATATCGTAAAGGGTACCTACAGCTGTTGTCACATCCTTTGACAAGGAAGTAGATTGTATCCTTGCGGATCGTGTAATGAGCAGGAGAGGCGTGCCCAAGTATACAGAATACTTAGTAAAATGGAAGAACCTGCCAGATAGCGAGGCGAGCTGGGAGCACGAGGATACACTTTGGCAGTTCGCGGAGCATATCCAGCGGTTCAAGCAAGAAGACACGACGACGACGTCGCGAGCTTAGGTAGGGGAGAATGTCACTCCCCGCAACCAAGAGGTTACGCCACGCAGGCGCCATGCAGGCGCCCAGCAGACGATGACATGGAGCCTGCATAGATCGGAGCTTTCTAGACTTCTCTACACAAGTATGGAACTTTCTGGAATTCTCTAGATTAGTGTGGAGTTGTCTAGCCTTTTCTAGACTTGTCTAGAGTTGTATAGAATTCTTTAGAATTATCTAGACTTGTCTTATACATTCTATATAGTTCTAGAATTGTGTAGATATTTCTTTGGAGGATTCTAGACACTAAATCTAGGCCACACATTTGTACACATCTAGAATGTTCTTGTAAGGCCAAAGGCCTATAAATAAGAGGTGGGAGTTCATTTGTTTCTCACCAAGCAACCAAGTTATAATCTCTCTTCTCAAGCAATACAAGTTCTATACCTTCCCAAACTCTCTTGCTCACTTGTCTAACCTCTTCCTACACACCTAAGTAAGCAAAACACTTGTCTAGCCTTAATCTTTATTAAGCTAGCACTCTCGAGTAGGCTGACTTAGCGCTTCAAGGGGGCTTGAAAGTGTCTAAGGAGGCACGGGTCTAGAGATTTGACGCAGCGGCACGGTCCGTGCTGCACCAAGGCATTGCTTTAGCTCGCGCAAGCGCCTTGGTCAGCCACCACGACCTGCCTTCCCAAGGATACATGATGACTGGTTTCGACATACCTTGTTCTCATCAGGGGAACGACTCCAGCTCCCGACCAGTTTGTGCAGGGATGGCCAACTCCCTTCTTCATAGTCAAGTCCACGACTAGCGATAAACACCTTGAATTGAACCGAGTCGACCTGCCTGAACTCTGAAGAGGTACCATCTTGTGGTCCTGCATGCCCCTTCCCTAGAACCATTCCTAGTAAATGAATGTTCTTAGCCAACCAGCATGCGTGTCTTCTATGCTCATGGCGTCGTTAGGAATCAGAACGTGACATTCTCCCCCACCCAAATCCTGCGACGCCCTCGTCGCAATGCAGCACTGACTCTACTGTGTCTAACATTCCAAAGTCTCTCTCCTCCAAGTGGTATGCTTGCCTGCCCACTATCGTTTCCCTGTACAACCACTGGCTGCACTCGCCTAATGATAGGGTTTCGGGCTAAAGGGACGCCCACTTCTTCGGGACCCAACCCCACATTATGCCGCCTCCGCAACACCCCGAGCAAACAAGGGCCCTCTGGCTGACTTTATACCCGCCCTTCACAACAGTTTGCATCCCCTTTGAACTTGCAAGAACTTTTATGCGCGCGGCCCTCCGGCTTCAAAGGACGCATCTTTCTGGGGAGATGGAGGCTCTCATCCAATATCATTGATTGCCCACCGACTCTTTGGTACACCCATTTCATTCTCAAGACCCCCGGATCGACAAGGGGGCACGCCTTTGTGCTTTACCCTAAGTCCTGCTCTGATACCATTTGTCACGGGCCTAGAGATTTGGCGCAGCGGCATGGCCCGTGCGGCACCAAGGCGTTGCTTCAGCTCTCGCAAGCGCCCTGGTCAGCCACCACGACCTGCCCTCCCAAGGATACATGCTGACTGGTTTCGACCTGCCTTGGTCTCATCAGGGGAATGGCTCCAGCTCCCAACCAGTTTATGCAGGGATAGCCAACTCCCTTCTTCATAGTCAAGTCCACGACTAGCAGCAAGCACCTCGAACTGAACCGAGTTGACCTGCCTGAACTCTGAAGAGGTACCATCTTGTGGTCTTGCACGCCCCTTTCCTGGAACCATTCCCAGTCAATGAATGTTCTTAGCCAATCAGCATGTGTGTCTTCTATGCTCATGGCGTCGTTAGGAATCGGAACGTGACAAATTGCTAAGATGGAAATTCAACGCCATCGAAAGAAGGAAATCAAAGAAAGAGTGGGCCACCACCAAAGACAATACGATGTACAAAAATTCAAGGAAAACTTATATCCAGGAAAGATAATTTGTTGGTATTAAAATTTGGTTACTTGGCTTAAACTTGGATACAAATCAGGTTTCAAAGATACTCTGAAATAACAACTTACATAAGAAAAAAAATTCACAAGAAAAATTAGGAGTAATGCAATGACAGATCTAATCAAATAAAGATCAGAGTATATTCAATTGGGTCTATATGTTTGGCTCGCTCAAGTTTTGTTCTCAATTCGTCAATCACATCCACTTATAAATGAACACTTAACAATGGTACATCCTAAAAAGCAACTACAACAAGAGTATGATTGTGGACTAAGATTACTTTTGAAACAAGAGATGGAATGAGTTTCTCATTACTTTCAAAGTTTTAATGAGTGTGTTTCTCATTATTTTTGTGGTTCACACCTATGCTATTATTTGGTGAAAATGGGATGGCAATTTCAATTAGATATTTGTGATCTGCTGTTTCCTTTACATATAAAGTCATTCAATTTGGCTAATTTTGGCAACTTTAGTAGATGTGACCCACAAAATACCATAAATGGTGGGGGAAGGCAGCCAACCACTAGAAATTGACACCAATTTTGTTCCTTTCGTTATCATATTTTTTTTCATCTTAAATTGGTATTTTGCAATTTTTTTAAAATAAAAATTTAAGAGCTGTTTAGTTTGTGACTATGGAAATAATTTTTTATTTTTTTTTTCATAATCCTCTTTTTTTCATCTTAGCTAATGGGTATATATATATATATATATATATATATATATATATATATGTTTTGCTTCTATATATACACGTTATGCTTCTATATATGATCAGTCATTACTAGCTTAGTTCAATGTATATATACTTCTTTTTTTTTGGGTTGTGATAAAGAGCAGTAACAACTTTATTGACTTCCCATCAAGGAGCAATATATTGGGGCTTTATTTAATTTATAATGAGTAAATACTTATTTCAACCTTTATATATTTCTCTCGATCTATTTTTTCTCTTTTTTTTTTCTCCTCAAGTCTTTGATTTTAAAGTGCTTTCTACTTGATAGGTACGAAGATAAGTCTATCAAAAATATTGTTCAAGTGATTTCAGAAAAATTACAGCCTAAACCATTAAGAGTTGCTAAGTACGAAGTGGGTATCGATGCATGCATAGACAAAATAATTACATTGCTAGACGAGGATCAACTCTTTGTTGGAATTTGTGGAATTGGAGAAGTAGGTAAGACCACCGTTGCCAAAGCGGTTTTCAACCGTAAATCAAAAGATTTTGAAAGAAGTTGCTTTCTTGAAAAAGTGAAAGAAGAGTCAGCAAAGGATGGTGGTCTAGCTAAACTACAAACCAAGCTTCTCAGGGAGACCCTAAGGGATCAAACTATAACAATATCAGATCCTAATGGGGAAATCAATGAGATAAAGGATAGACTTGGTAATAAAAGGCTTCTTCTAGTGCTTAATGATGTAGACGACCAAAATATATTGCAGTACTTAGTTGAACATGAATGGTTTTGTAGTGGTAGTAGGATCATCCTAACAACTAGAGATAAACAATTGTTGGAAATGTACGATGTTAGAACATACGACCTTAAGTTATTAAATGACAGCGAAGTGCTACAACTTTTCAGTTGTCATGCATTCAAGCGGGAAAAGCCTGAAGATGATTATGAGGAACTTTCAAACCGTGCAAAAGATTATGCCAATGGCCTTTCACTTGCTCTCCAAGTTTTGGGTTCTCTTTTACACAAAAGAGGAAAACAATACTGGTCAAGTATATTGGATAAGTTGAAGACAAACCCTCCCAAAGAAATCAAGGAAAATGTTTATCGTGTTTTAAAGATTAGTTATGAAGGCCTTAATGAGGAAGAGAATGATATTTTTCTTGATATCGCATGTTTCTTCAATGGATGCCATAAGAAATATGTCATGAATGTTTCTAAGTTGCCTGAATCTGACGTGGTCATTGAAATACAAATTCTTAATGAGAGGTCCCTCATTAATATATCAGGAAAAAATGTGGTGTTAATGCATGACTTGATACAAGAAATGGGCCGAGGAATTGTTCGTCAAGAATCTAAAGAACCTGGAGAATGCAGTAGGCTGTGGTCTTGTGATGACATCCATCAAGTATTCGCTGAAAATATGGTACGTGTTAAAGGCATACATGTTACTTTCTTTCCACATGCAAGATTTGCAAACAAAAAAAGTTTCTTGTATTGTTCCTTGTTGTCTTCTTTGAAGAGTATAATTATAGTTAGGTTTTTATTTCTGTTGGTTGATAGGTGACAGAAAAAATTGAAGCTGCTACCCAACAATGGATTATCTTTAGAGGGAGGGTTGCATGTAAGAGCTGATGCGTTCACAAAGATGAGGAAGCTACGAATACTCAAAATCAATGGTGTGCGGCTTGATGGGTGCCTTACAGATCTTTCAAATGAGTTAAGGTATCTTGAGTGGGATGGCTATCCCCAAGAATATTTGCCATAGAATTTTCATCCAAAAAGACATGTTCATCTCCATTTACCTAATAGCCTGATTAAAGGGATTTGCATGAATTCAAAAGTAAGATAATTAATTTACTCACGTGGTTTTCCTTTTTGTTAAAATTTTCTCTTTCGAATAAAATAATCTTCTCCACCCAATTGAAGCTAACTTATTTTTTTAATATATATATTATATATTTTAACAGTTTCTAGAGAGGTTAAAAGTCCTTAATCTCAATTTTTGCCCATATCTGGTAAATCCTAATATTTCAGAGTTTCCCTTTCCGGAGGAATTGTATCTCGGAGGTTGTGACAGTTTGGTTGAGGTTGAATTTGAGGACGGGAAGGTAATGTTATTATTTAAGGTGCATTATGCTTCTCTTTGCGAATTATTTTGTTAAGTTGTTTGAAGATGATTTATATCACAAGTTGACCTCATATATATTTTACGAAAATTTTGAGAGAAACCCCTAAGTTTTCTTACTAAACATATGAAATGTTTGGTGATTTTCATTTGTTATTAGGACTTCTAAAATTATCAAGTTTTCTTACTAACAAAGCAAAACAAACAAAAAACAAAAATAAAATGTTTTCATTTTTCAGCAACTTGGTAACATGACGGATCATTGAAACTAAATTCACCGGGAAAAAAATTGTCAAGAACCTCCTCGAGCGTACATTTGGAAAATTGTCCAAACAAATAATAATAATGATAGCAGCTATCACTTTTAAAAAACTATTAAATAAGTAATTAAAATGGCATAACAGATTTAGATTATATCCCAAGTAAATTCATTACAGATCTTGCATGTCATCAGTACTATAAGATGGTTCAGTTTTAAGGATGAACAGTTCATTTCTAGTTCCAAAAATAGTTACTTACTATCTAGATGTAAAAAGAAACAATGACAATAGTAAGAAAAAAAATAAATCAATAGCGATTGAGATGTTCTTTGTACGAGGCAATTCTTCATTTTTTTTTTCCTTAGTAAGTTTAATTCTTTTTTGTTCTCTTGTTTGTTGGTAAAAAAATGACTTGACATAAGAAAAAATATATACCTCTTAGTGAATGCCAATTGAAATAAACTAATTAAACAAATGTCATTGACCCGATGGTATAGTTTCAGTAACTCTCTCTTTCCTTGAGTATATTTTTTTTCTGTATGTTTTTTTTTTTGTTTTTGTTTTTGTTTTTGTTTTTTGTTTTAGATTGTGAGGGATAGATAAGGAAAAGGAAAAATGTAAAAGAAAAAATTAAAGGAAACTGAAAACTATTATTGAGCTCTAGTGTTTGTTTTTTTTTCCCCCTCTAACTCTGATTTCTAATGAGATTAAATGTTAATGGCAATTACTTCTGATTTTTTTTTAATCATTTAATTTTCTATTTTTGCATAATCTAGACAAGTTAAGAATCATTTCTCTCGGTCCATGTCAAAATTTGAAGAAAACTCCTAATGTGTCCGGGTTGTCATGTCCAGAGACATTAGATCTTTCGGGCTGTACAAGTTTGGCTGAGGTTCATCCATCCATTGAATTTCATGAGAGGCTTGGGAGCTTGGATTTTCTTTGGTGTAGAAATCTAAAGAGTCTCACAACAAAAATTAATTCGAAATCTCTCAAAAGTATTGATTTTGCTCGGTGCTCAAAACTTGAGAACTTTCCAGAGATGGAAGGAGATATGGAATGTATAAAGGTTATTCCTTTAGATGGGACTACACTAAAAGAATTACCTTCATCGGTAGTTAAACATCTCAAAAAGCTTCGTTCTTTGAATATGGGCGGCTGCAAAATGCTTAAAATTAAGCTTGCCGTACAATATTGGTGAAATGGAGAGTTTACAAGAGCTCGTCTTAAAATGAACTGTTATAAAAGATTTATCTCCATCAGTTGTACGTCTCAAAAGGCTTAATTTTTTAGATATGGGGGACTACAAAATGTTTGAAAGTTTGCCAAGCAATATTAGTGAAATGGAGAGTTTTCGAGAGCTTGTCTTAAAAGGAACTGTTGTAACAAATTTACCTCCATCGGTTGTACATCTCAACAGGCTTTGTTCGTTAGATGTAACTGACTGTATAATGCTTGAAAATTTGCCAAGCAATATTGGTGAAATAAAGAGGTTAAATAATCTTTGTTTGAGAGGCAGTGGTATAAAAAAGTTACCGTCATGGACTAACCTTGGAAAATTAGATTAGAGTAACTGCAATTTAGATGAAGAATCCATTCTTAATCTTCCTCAGTCATTGGTTGAGAATCATGGGAACAAGAAGCCAAATGTATACTATTCAGAAAGTCAACTTCAGGTACGTATATATATATATATTTGTGTATGCGTCTCTCTCTGTAAACTTACGTCCAAAATTAATCCCCTAATCTATAGGAACAAGAAGCCAAATATATACTATTAAGAAATTATGCATTTGTGTGTGCGTATTTATCACTCTCGCTCTTTCTCACAGAATTAGTAAATCATTTGTTATGGTTTTTATATATGGTATAGGAAATTGGTGGTTCAATCCTTCTTCTAGGAAATGAGTTTCCAAGTTGGTTCAGCCAAATAAAATATGAGAGTGAGAGTGGTGCTAAGGACATGACTTTGGTGTGTTTGAGGATGGATCCAGATTCTCTCCGTTACCTCAAAGGAGTTTCTGTTTGCGCGGTTTTGAAAATGGAATCTGATGATATGGTCTCTACAATCCAACATGAATACACGAGTTCTAACAGACACGGAAGCCAAGAAGTCAGATAAGCTACAATTATGAAGCAATATAGATAAGGATGAGTTCTTCAGATCCGTATTGTACTATGATAAGGAGATTAATTCCCTTATCAGATACTGTAACCTATCCTATAAAAAAGATAGTCAGCCAATTCAAAAGGTACGCAAAAATATCCTTAACAGAGTCCATTAATCTTCCTAGTCTTGTACTAAGTTGACCGTCGGAGACTTTTGGGCGGTACTGTACCAGTGCCTTCGACGACTTTTTCTCTTCTCTGCAGGTTATGACGTCGTTCTGGGTCATGACAGAATCTTGCATCATCAGTTGGCGCCGTCTATGGGAAGCGATATTAGTTTCCTGGAAAAACAATGGTTCAGTTGCGATCCGGAGTCCAACTCGGAGAAGGAAGCCAGCACACTTTGCGCTTTGATGGCGGAAGTCAATCACATCATGGTGATGGCAGCCACCATCAACAGCGTCAAGGTGCAAATCAATCACAGCATGGTGATGTTAGCCACCATCAATAGTGTCAAGGTACAAATCAATCACGGCATGGAGATGACGGTAGCGGTCAACCACATGACGATGAGAACCAGTCGCGTCACAACGATGGTCATCAATCACATCATGATGACAATCAGCCTCATCACAGGAATGACATGTAGCGACCCGAGTTTTTCAACCCGGTTCGTTAGTGATGAACCGAAAGTTGACCAGATAACGAGTCCGAAATGCAGAAGCAATAGATAGAACCAAGGTCTATAGAGATATAGACCATCTCTAAGACACCAATGTGACCTTCCAAGAAGTCACAGAGTTCAAGGAGAACGAAAACAGAAACAAAGGTTGAAACGGACAAAAACCATGAACTAAGGGCAAAATGGTCAACTCACAACCAAAAAGAGAAACTTGACTCTAAACAAGTCAAACAAGGTGAAAACAACCTAACTTAATCATTTTATGACTTTCTAAGAGGTTCTAAGAACATTGGACAAGAATCCCACAAAATGCCCTATCCCGGTCGAAGTAAAAATTGACACTACTTCACTAAAACATGAATAACTCTCACTATGATTGGAATCTGAGAATGGCATTAGTACCATTGGAAATCTGACTCAAAATTCATGAATTTAGGCTCAAAAATCACCCTATTTGGATTTAAAACGAAGGAGTTATGACCATTTGAAGTCGGAACATCAGTGCTGAAACTGAACTGAAGAAGTTGGGTGAAAGGGGTCATTTTGGTCGACCGAAATAACCCATCGGATGACCGAAATGAATATGCTGAGAATAAAAATCAAGTTTTTAAGGCTTGGTTGTTTCGGTAGACCGAAATAACCCATCGGTCGACCGAAATAAGCTTGAACAATACTTTTGGCTACTAGAAACGGTGTTTTTGAAGTTCAAACAAATACCAAAGGGCATCGGTCGACCGAAATGAAGCTTTGGATGACTGAAATGGCTCGAAAAGCTCAGAATGAACCTTCTATGAACAAGATTTGATGAAGCTTCACCTAAGCTTCAAACCCCAACATGGATATGATCTAAAAACATGATTTTAAGCTATATAAACATGCTAGCAAGTATACTTTACATATTGAAATGTATTACAATGGCCTATAGCCTCATTACATGTCATTTACTCAAATTCACATGCCAAACCTCAAAGTTGAAAAATTTTACATTTCAAAGGCAAAACTTGGAATTTAAGTACATACACTTGAAATTTAAACTCTATGGCCCTTGGCCTCATGTCGTACATATCAAATAGATCCGAATTAGTGTATCTAAGTACACTTTACACATAAAAAGACAAAAAGAGCATGTTGAACCTAACTAAGTGTTACAACATCAAAAGTAAGACTTAAACATGCTAACACTTGCATATGAACAGGAATGCTTTGAAAGAACTTCAAATCACCAAACCATCAAAGATAAATGCCAATCTCCGTATCTTGATTCTTGTACTTGAAATATGCCCCAGTAACGTAGGGGTGAGCAATATAAAGCTACTCGTAAGAAATGAACACGCATTGACCTACGTTTTACAATTTCATCACCTTAAGGTGAAACATGTTAAAGGGGCTCATGCTACCTAACGTCTATGTCAAAATGAGACTCCGAAAGCATCCTAAGCTACCCTAGATCATTTCTAGCACAAATCACATCATTCATGCAATTCCAACAACATAGTAGCATGCTTACACAAAGTAACAAAAATGTAGATTCTCAAGGTTATGAACTTGAAATCTAAAATGCTAAAATATCCAAAGTGGGTTATGCCACCTAACGTCTATGTTCCAAATGAATCTATAGGATCATTCCTAAACCACATTTGAACATATAAGGCATAATGTACTTAACAACATCAAAGCTCACAATGATTCACTAAAATCATAAAACATAGATGTGTTTAACAACATCAAAATGATTCACTAAAATCATAAACATGGATGTACTTAACAACATCAAAATCGCCAATAACCAAAACCATAAGTCACAATATAAACATGATTGTTAACTTAGAATTAAATGCGAAAACAAATAGTGGAAGTTTTGGACATCACGTCTTGGATTTGTTCCGGGCACTAACCCGCTGGGAAGACCACCCTAGTGCGCACTATCTCAATTGGGGAGAACTCATACCTCCCGCACTAAAGCCAAACTCTAGCCATGTCACATGTAACAACAATGTCTCAAGACTCCAAAATAATCCAAATAAGTTCACAACTTATATATAATTTATATAATGCACGAAAACCACCTTCCATGCACAAGTAGGTTGAAACCACATGATCCATGCCTTAAGTTTCAATTCTAAAATGACATACATAATGTCAACACAAAGTGTACAATTCCTTACACAAGTCAATCATATATTCAATATTGGAAACAAGTTCTCATGAATATAAATTTAGCAATAATGCTTTCTTCAATGCTTAAAACATAATCAAGTGAATACTTAACAAGTCCAAATCCATGATCTCAACATAGAAGCAACTTCTAAAACATGATTAAATCCATGGATAAACAAGATAGAATTTAATTAAATCAAAATAATTAAACTCTAGATTTCACATCATTTCCAAATGGCCTCAATTTAATATATGTTAAAGGATAAATCATGGTCATTACATATATGCATTCAAAAGCTTAATTAAGCCAATGAAACCACAAAATAGATTTTAATTAATTCATTTAATTAAAGTCTCTAGAATTTCAAACTCAACCAAATGCTCTCAATTTAAAGTATGTTAAAGGATATGCCAAGACTTAATTTAAAAGCATAATACAATTTCATTTCATGTAAAGTATGGCCATGGGAATTAATCTTTCACAAAGAAAAATATTAAATAAAAGATGCAACTTTTATTCAAATAATCCCAATTAAATATATGATAACAAACATATTAAAACTAAGCTTTCTAGCATGCCACAATTCAAATTCAAGTTATACATCATCATGTGAATTAAATCTTGTACAAAGAAATTAATTATT